TTTGAGCCCAAAAAAACATTCATATCTTGTCTGACATCGCAGCTACAAACTCGGGTCTACAACTCGGGCCTTCAATTGAAAGCCCGAGTTGTAGACCCGAGTTTGTAGCAGAGATGTCAGACAAGATATGAATGTTTTTTTGGGCTCAAATGAAAGAGCGGCTCGAGAAATGACGTGCTGATGCCCCTAAAGATGGTTTTGAACCAGGGGAGACTCCTAGACCCCAATGATCTATACATACTCCTAGACCCCATTGTCCTCCTAGACAATGATGTCACAACTCTGCTGTGTGCACCAAACTGCAAAAGATACTTGAATATCCTTAAAAAACCAAAATCACCGAACTCACCCGTCTCTATTTATGTGATTCCAGACGACGGGTGAGAGCGTTAGCATCACAAGCATTCGGTTGGCTATGAAATCACCGAGCCAGCTGGTATGCTGCCACTGCATTCAGCGAGGGCATCACGTGTCAACTTGTCAGGATTTAGATACCGACGACATAGAACCGTTATTCGAGATCATTGACATTGACAATGTTGACGAGCATGACGATGACATTGAGATACTAACACCAGAGACTAACGCTAAATCCCTGACTGTTGACGAAGTTGTGCTGCTGTCAGACGATTCTGACAGAGTGAATTCTAACGAGAGAGATTACGATTCTGAGATTAGTTCAATTTCGCTCGATGGGGAGTCCAAGGGTGGTGGGAATTTTAGTGATGATGATGATGACGAGATCGAAGTTATACCGTACGTGAAACCCCCCATTCCGACGTACTGCATAAGCGATGACGACGACGTCGACGTGATTTCAGTAAAATCGAACGACGAGGTGGCCGAAAAAATTCCAGAAAATTCCACATCCATTTATTACGACCCTACATGCCCTACATTGAGTAATTCCTCTGACAGTGAGGATGAGATTGACGTGGAGTTCTTAGACGAAGACGTAAACGTCGAAGACTTGAGTGATAAATCAGAGGGTAGCGATTCAAATGAACTGATAGATGTTGATGGGGTCGAGGAGACGAATTTTGTTGTTAAAATTCTATCTATATGTCCAACTGAGGGGGATAAGGATGCTGAGGAGTCTGTTCAGGTTGAAGTGGGAGATTTATTGAGAAAGATGATTGGGGATGTGGAAAGGTTGGACGCTGAAGCGCCAGATGTTGAGGGGAATGCAGAGGACAGGATTTCTGTAGAGAAAAATAGTTCTTTGGAAGATTCAGAGGTACAAGACGAGAGAAATTGTGATGATCGAGTGGAGCCTGAGGCTGATGACGTGCGGTTGAATGAGGCTGAAGCGTTAGATGCTGAAGGGAATGCAGAGGACAGGATTTTTGCAGAGCGAAATAGTTCGTTGGAAGAAGCTGAGGAACAAGATGAGGGAAATTGTGACGATCGAGTGGAACCTGAGACCAATGACGTGATAATAAATTCTAGAGTCGAATTCGAGATGCCACAGAGTCCAGAGGAAACACCTGGAGTGTCTGATGACGATCAGGGGGAATCGGACGACTCAGGGCCGATTACTTATGTGAAAGAAGAGAGAGGCCAGGGGGAGGAGACGGCAAATAAACCAATAAACAATTTTAACAGGCCCCTGAAGAGAGAGCCGAAGGCCGAACCCCCGGATCTCTAGCCCCTGAAGGGGTGAAACTCTCGTGGGACCATGTGACAGTATTAATCAAAGGTTTCAATTTAAATATCAAGTCAACGTCAAATCGTGGATATATTTTTCTTCGTAGAAACATTGATATTAATGTTTGTAAGGGTAGGCTTAGGTTTTGTACGTTTAATGCGCAGTTTCTTATCGAGAGCATTGGAAATATTGTTGAATCAATGAAAGTTATTGAGAAATAAAAACGAGTTATTATATTTCGGGGTCATTTAATTTAATTGTTCTGGGTTTTTTATTTTGAGGGAATTCTGAAGAAATGCCACGATTTTTTTCCCAGCCCCATATTTATTGTTTTTTTAAATGGAAAATGTGGAATGGTAATTTTTCATTGAAAAAATCAGAAGAATTTCTTCTTTTTATACAATTGTTTCTGTTCTGAGATTTTCTATAGAATTTTCTCGACATGAATTTTCTGAGCTTTATCCACTCTATTTTTCCTGTCTTTTAATTAAAAAAAAAATAACAAAACTCTGAAAAATTGAGCCGAGCAATTTCTATAGAAATTATCTCCATATTTGAGTTGTATGGAAAAAGGAAATTTTATTAATTTTTTTCTAGAGTATAATTTCTACTGAATATTCCTGTGGAAAAAAAACACATGAGGCGCACTCTCTGCATGTTTGTCACAAAAATCCTTTTTTGATAATTTTCAAAAAACTATTTTCTCGGCACAAATACTTGTCTGAGAACTCTGTGATTTTTCTCTCAGTGTAACCGTTCAATATCGAAATTGAAATGCTGCCCTCGAAATTTAACTAATAAAATCCTCCTAAAACGTCCGAAAACTGTGTCAAAGGGGCTCGAATCCCTAAACCCCCCTTGATTTCTATTTTCCAGACATCAGGAACAGCCGTGAACATTCCCCCGGACGCAGGCGCGATTCTGAAGCCCCCGAATGAATTGAGTTGCTGCAATTGCACGCGCCGAGGGCACGACGCAGCGACATGCATGGACTACCGCTGGTCGGGCCACTTCATCCTGCCCAACTACGTCCGAGACTACAAGTCGGGTCCCAGCTACGTCTCGGCGCCATCCCCTCACCGGCAAGCGATGCCAGACCTCCGCGAGCCGATGAACATCGAGCGCCTTGGGATCAGCCTGGAGGGCCCCTCGACGTACCTCTTCCACTTCGTCAACTCGTCCCCCCAGGACACCTCCTCCTGGAAGGAGTGTTCACTAGTCCCCAACCAGCTCCCAGGAGTGGACTACCCACAGCCCCACGACAACCCAGTCTACCCCCTCTTCCTGAGGACGCACTTCAGCAAGTGCACGTGTGCCCCGATGGAGGTGTTCGTCAAACGCTGTTACAAATTGCAGGGATTACCGATCATAACAATGAGAACCCCCGACGATGCATCCCTCGGCAAATTGAAGGACCTTATTCACCAGTGGCTGACACGACCCAGAGACGACAAGGAGTCGCTGTCCCACACGCCCCAGCTCCCGCAGGCTCGTCTGGAGCTCCTCCACGTTTTAAAAAGCAAATTGCGGAAATTCAACAGGAGAGCCGTGTCCCACCAGTTCTGGAGGAAAGTGCCGGCGTGTCTACAGCTGCAGAAGAACATTGCCACGAGCAGGGGGAAGAGGATGGCCAATAAGGACAAATTGGAGAGGAAGATCCAGAGCCTGAAGGAACTGAAGTTGGGATGTGTCGTGGGAAGCTACAAGTATCTGCTGATCGATACGCCTCTGGACGCTTTGAGGAGATTCTGGGATTTCGTTGGAGCTGTTGAGGAGCTGCCGGAGGGGGAGGTGCCTGGGGAAATGTATATTACAGCTGTTTGGTACTGTTTCGAGCTGTTTACTCCTCATTTGTCACCGACGATTTGGACTTCGATGGAGAAGTGGACGAGGGATCCGACGCTTCATGTGAGGGGGGCGAAGGTTTACAGGGAGTGGATTCACGGTGTTCGCAAGGGGATTAAACGCAGACGCGGGATTTATTCGGAGGGGAATGCAGGGGAAGTGGTGAGTGAGCCTGGGGTGTCCTCTGGGTTGAGGGAGGTGGTGGAAGTGGAGAAAGGGGCGGGGAATTCCTCGGAGGGGGAGAGAATCGAGCAGGGTGAGAATTCCGAAGGAGATGTGGAGATAATTGATGAGAAAGCAGCTCCTGCGAGTTGTCCTGCGTTTTTCTCTTCCCGTCTCACGTTACTGGATGTCTGGGCGAGGAAGAGAACGACTTCGGCTGGGGCCAAGATGGGCAGGAAGCTCGCTGAAATAATGCGCCTGGGACTGCCTGTGGATATGCCAATGCCGAAGGATCCTCGGGAGTTCAGTCCCGAGTTGTTGGCGGAGTACGGGAATAAGGGTCTTGAGATAATGAGGCAGCAGAATATGAGCAACGTTGGGAGGAGAGTTATGAAGCTTCTGGAGGGGACTGAAGGCATGGTCGCTCGTAGGGGACAGCTGATCACCATGTGGCAGATGATAAAAGGCGAGTTGGTTAGGAGGAGGAATAGGGAAAATAAGAGGAAAAAGGAGACTTTCGCGACGGCGAAGAAGAGGTGGAAGAAGAAGAGTGCAAAGGTTGGATGTTTGCCGTAGAATTTTTTACAGGTGTGAATAAATGGTTATTATGTGGTGAAATGTTGGAGAATTTTTTCGGGATTGGAGTGCAGAATAAATTCTCATCCCGCTCGTATGGTGCTAATGGGGGGTCTGGTGATTTCGTTGTGATTCTTGTTTTTCCTTTTTTTTCTATGAGATCGAACGCGCGCTGTGATTGTAACAATCATAATTGAAAATCTCGAAATTAAATGAATCATTAATTAAATTTGCCGCCTCAGACGACTGGAACCCATGAGGAATAGGCGTGGCAGACTTGCGAGATATCGATAGTTATCGACATCAAGTGTAGGTTTTTTTAGAATAGGACTAATTTCAGTGAAATTTAGAATTCACTTTTTGAAAATCCTGTTGAACGATTTTTGGAGTCTATTCAAATTTTAAATTAGTCAATTGGTTAATATTACTCAACGATTTTTAAATTGCCAAATTAATCGGCGATTGAATATTGAATATAGAAGATTGACGATTATTTGGATAATCGAAAAATCCTTTCAAGGCATTTAGAATTATTTACTCCATAGTTAATTGACAAGACCAAATTCATAGTCAGTTGAAAATTTATATTATTATTTTATTGTTTCAAATTTCAGTAAGAATTCTATTACTCTCTCATTCTTCAAAATCAATTTTTAAAAGTGGCCAAAATAATTTCAGGATGGTACCGCATATGTTATCTTTTTCTTATGATAGCAGACTGTCATTGTCTTGGAATTTTTACCCTTCTTATGATTAAAAATCAAGTAATTAATTTACAAATGCAATACTCCTGTAAAAATCATGAGTTTATTTACACAGTCACACACACGTCGGAATTGATCAATGGATCCACAAAAAAAAACGTAAATTAATGGGTCCTAGGGTAGAATTATTTCTTCATGGGTGGTGGAGCTGTCATTGGGGGTGGTGGTCCATTCATGGGGGGTCTCATGGGTCCCATGGGCCCCATAGGACCCATCATCGGTCCCATTGGTCCCATCATGGGTGGTCGCATGCCCATCATGGCCGGCATGGGCCCATGTGGACCCATCATCATCGGTCCTCCTGGTGGCATAGGCCCACCAGGATGCATCCCTGGGGGTGGCATCATGCCCATCGGTGGCTGGGGTGGCACTCCCGGCCTAGGGCCCAGACTCGGTGGTGGCGGAATAGCTGCACCCTTGTTCGCTGCAAATGGATTTGAGGCTATTTTTCCAGCCTTGAATGCTGCTGTCGTCGCGTCAATCAAATGCTGCGCCTGCTCCTCCATCCATTTTTGGTAGAAGTACTTGACATTGTCCTTGTGTTTACGACCCTGACAGTGAGTCTTTCTGACGCTCGGCGAGTCGTGGGTCAAGTACGTGTCGCAATAGTCGCAGTAGTATTTTGGCATTTTTTTCTAATCTGAAAATTCAATCAGAGGGATTAGATTCGGGGATTTTCAATCGGTAATTTTGTCGAGAAATTGAATGGAGGAAATTTTGGAAAACTTCGGAGGTTGTGGGGAGGGTAAACAGATCAATTGCTGGACGATTTTAAATTGCGGTGAATAGGAGAGGTTGGGGTAAAACGGACACTTTTGACTTTTACTAAAATGTCAATGAGAGGTTGAAATGTTGATGAAATTTAATACTGTTTTTTTTCAATAAAAAGAACAATTCGTTTACTTTGTGACGAGCCTAAACTGAGCTCAATTGATCTATTTTTTTCTGAGTTATGAATAATTTTGAAAAGTCTAAAGTGTCCGTTTTACCCCACCGTCCCCTAGTCCACAAATAAAATGAAATTATTTGTCTCCTCTCCACTCCAATTTTGACAAGCAACCAAATTCATTGAGGTTAGATTACATTTCTCATTCCCATTTCCGTGAATTTCAGGGAATACTGCACTTGGAAATGATTATTTTATACACTTACCAATGTTAAAAGTGTGGGAAGTAATTACCGATGCCACAAAACTACTTTTTCACATATACTTCGTAAATAAGACGTTTACAACTTGTTTGTATAAATCGTATTCATGCGATATTTAATCACTGAATACACGAGCGACCCCAGCGCCACTAGTTCTGTTCTCAGCCGCGCGGAGCCATCTTGGACTGGCAGTTATCGGTTGGCGCTGGACGAGCGCGATGCATTCTCATTTGTACCGACGGTTTTCGGTGCATTTGGAGGCTCTCAAGTGCTTCAACAACGGATAAAGTGACTTGTGATGTTACTCGTGAGACAGGGACGACATTTTCAAACGTCTTTGGTGAGTAGGAATAATTTTCATTAGTTGTTTACTTGTTCAGACATTGGAATGGCGTTTGTAAACTTTTTTGGGAGCATCAGTGTTGTTGTGGGGTTGTGGAGGCGGGGATTATTGGCGAATGGATGAAGTAATGCGGTTTTGTTGGTAAATAAACAAAATGTCGACATTTATCAGTCAGCGAACCGTTTTGGGTCGACATGGAGCGCAGTTATCGTACGTCGCATAACAAAGGATTCAGACAATTTTCTCGGGATTGTTTGTTGATGATCAGTGATTCTAGTGTTGTGCGTTTGCTTAAAATTGAAATTTGAGTTCCCTATAGAGCCCAATATGGACGGACGGCTCAGAATTGCGGTTTTCCACTTCCTACGCCCTATACAAGATA